CACGGGTGGGTTGGGCTACAGCAACCTCCCACGCAAAAAAAATAAAAATTTAATTATTTCAGTTTTGCTAGAAATGATATGAATGATAGAGTTATACACTCTACTACAAGAGTAAGAAAACGATCTTCAGCTGGCTATATGTGGGTGGGTTAGACTTCAGCTGCTCAGGTGAACATAAAACAAAAAAAAAACATAAAAATTTACGATTTTAGTTCGCACGAAAATTGGTCAGCTGATAGTTGATATGATACTTAAATCAAATCAAACGTTCAGCTCGCTGTTTGTCGGAGGAAAACGTTCTGCTGAGGCAGTGAAGGTGTAACGCGGAAAGCAGGTATATGAGCGGCGCTCTCAGGGCACGCGTAACTTTAATACGTCAACTGAACGTCTTTCCGCCCGCATACAGTCAGCTGAACGTTTTTTCTTTTGGTTTAGTGATATGTGAACTATCATATAACCAATTTTCAAACGAACTTAAAGAATGTATCTAAAGTTACACGTATTTACTCATTTACCCAGATTACTTTTTATTTCTACTTTATTAATGTTAAATATACAAGAGTTTTAAATCGTCGCGCATTTTACGCGCGTAGGTCTTGCGGTATATTTTTATTTGCGGTTTTTGTTTTATCTATAATAAAGATACGAAGCCGCCATATCACAAGGTTTATATGTACAAGGTTGCACATGGCGTAGGCCCGTTATTCTTTTCTGGCAAAATTTAACAAGCAGCTGATTGCTGGGCGATAACATCCAAACAGCGTTTACTTTACACACCGACGACATAGACACACAGTTCAATTGTTCAAGTGAAAGAATAGATCTTGACCATATCAGTGTGTTTGGAGCCTTCATTCGAGTGAGATCTACTACAACGCTGCCAGAATAGAAAGTGAAGCGACGCGACCGGGGCATTCTCGCCGCGATGTCGACAATAGTGCCTTTTTGTGCTTTTTTGCAAAAAAAAAAGAAAATATATTATCGTTTACAGAACAATCTATAAAAAAAAGTGTAGTAAAATATTAACAGTTCGTCAGAACAACAATTTACTTGGAAAAGAAGTTATATTGCCAGCCCAGCCGAATGACTTCCAATTGTACCACGTCAAATGCTACAAACGCTTCACAGCTTTACCGCCAAAATATAGAGTTCATGCCTCGAGTCTTGCAGAAAAAAATGCGGAAGCACCATCTTCTTCAATAGGAGGGTAAGTCAAATGATTTTAATTAAATATTTGTTCATAAAGAAGTGTTTTCACAAGCTAGTATTGACATATTTTTATCGTAGTTCTTTGCTCACTATTTATTCCAACTATTCGTAATTTTGTTTTATTAACCTTATTAAACTTCATTATTTCTACATGTTTTCTGTAGTATATTGATTAAAGTGTATTCTTAATAAGAAATAGCAGAAATTAAATACAGCGAAATACCTCATAACCGGACACTCACCGTCGCAGTGTTGTCATATTATGGGAGATGTCCGCTTATGAGGGGCCACAAAAAAATATGTATAAATTTATCAGAAATTGTCGTTTATGTAATCTATTTATATTTATTGATTGCAATGTTATTGCGATTTATGTATTTAACAAACTGAATGTAAATGCCACCCTCTATTTGTCACATACGACATGAATGTGTGCATACATGCTAAAAGGGGAATCACCAATTTCATTTTTATAAAAACCGGCTATTCGAGCTGTTCCGGTTACAAGGACTGTCCGCAATGGGGGAATTTCACTGTAATTAGTTTTAACGACTAATCCTATAGTAGCTTGTATCAGCATACACGTGAAAAATGTGCCCCTATACGTAAAAAACGAACTCGAAGCATTCCGACGTCACCGCGAGAGGGCGTTAGAGGGATGCGAACGGAGAGGGCATGCAACTATTCCCTCTTTCTACCATTTGTACGCTGTTAGAGCCCACTCTTCTACTTGTATTTACTGTATAACCTCCTAAAATAACCGGCGTCGTTTACAAAAAGTTTACTACGGTCGACTGCCATTACAATAGTTTGTGTAGCTGTATTTCTTTAACAGAATAAACTTGGTTTTTCAGGCAAGATGTTGCTGAAGAAGAATATTTTGGCGAATGTGAGGAAGGTGCTGTTCATACTGATAAAAGTGTGCATGAAGGCAATCATAGCTTAGGTGATGTTGCTGATATTTCCTGCCAAGACGATTTTCACGGCCAAAAAGTCCCCCAAGGAGACAATATCCAAGGCCAAGATGTCCCTCAAGGAGGCAATGGTCAAGACCAAGATGTCGTGCAAGGCGGCGAAAAGGACCAAGATCAAGACTCTAACCCAGCCTTTTTCCGGAAAAGCAAAAAAGCGCCCATAATTAATGATGAACAAAAATTAAGAATTTGTAAGAGAGTAGAGAAGATCTTTTTGGCAAAATACAAGAATTCGTCTGCCGACTCTACGGCTTCAAAAAAATTAATGACATCAATGAAGCTAGGGTCGCAACGTTCATGAGGAACTACAAGGTTCTGGAGAATGATAATGTTTTCCGCTTGCCGAATAAAACTATCGACGGCTCAGCACTACCACCCCGTAAAGTGGCTCTACAGCAACAATTCCTCAGAGCGTGCTACATCGCTCAGATTTGGGCGAATGCTCACCTACAAGTACCCAGCGGCGAAACACCTTCAGACTATGGCTGGGAAGAAATGGACAACAGATATCAATTTAAGTGGTTTACTGACAGCCAGTTACCAACATCACTTGACGAAATAACAATCCAGCCGGAAAAGGGTAAGACAAATTTCAATAAAAAAGTTTTTTTGTTCAAAGATTATTTCATTATTTTAATATTTTCTTTTTTAATAACGGGTTTTTATTAATTAATATGTACTTGCTATAAACATTTATTTATGTGATTAATTGTAAAAATTAAAAACTCATTATTTTTATTTTTTTTTATTGAGCTTTGTACCACGACTGTTTATTAGGAAAAATTCAAAAAGCAACAAAGTCTAAGCGGTAGAAGTTATAGCAGCTATTTCGCAGATCACCACATCTCATCACACTTCTTTTTTCTAGACTTCAACAGGGATCGAACCTTCATAATCGATGTGCAAAGTCAGAAGCGTTAACCATTGAGCTATGTACACCCCGAAAACTCTTGTGGCTAATTCATTTTCCTTATTCAACCAACTACTATCAAAAGCAGCTGATTTGCCGCTATTTAAACTTGACAGCGTGGTTGTTGCTGTCAATTCTATACATCTATTTGCTTATTTGCTTTATTGTATAGTTTAGGCAGGCTCCTAAACTATGTAAAAGTCAGAAGCGTTAACCACTAAGCTATGTACAATACCTAATTAAATTTTTCCTAATAAACAATCGTGGTACAAAGCTCAATAAAAATATTAAAAATAAAATGTTAATAAGCCACAATAAAATTGACAGATTAAAAACTCATTTTTATTATATCTGTTTGCAGATGATGGCAAAGATATACTGGCAGAAATTTCCGAAAGCGATTCTGATAGCGATTCGGACGACGACGCTAAAAGCTCGGCAGCAGACCAAAGCGAGGAAGTTATATGGTTATATTCGCATATCACTTTAAACCATAAAAAACGTTCAGCTGACTGTATGCGGGCGGAAAGACGTTCAGTTGACGTATTAAAGTTACGCGTGCCCTGAGAGCGCCTCTCATATACATACCTGCTTTCTGCGTTACACCTTCACTGACTCAGCTGAACGTTTTTCCACCCACATACAGCCAGCAGAACGTTTGATTTGATTTAAGTATCATATCAACTATCAGCTGACCAATTTTCGTGCGAACTAAAATCATAATTTTTTTTTACTTTGTTTTATGTTCACCTGAGCAGCTGAAGTATAACCCACCCGCATACAGCCAGCTGAACATCGTTTTCTTACTCTTTACTATATACTCTATCATTCATATCATTTGTAGCAAAACTGACATAATTAAATTTTTTATTTTTGTTTTTGTTTCCGTCGAAGGCTGCTGTAGCCTTCCCACAATGGCACAGCGGAACGTTACTACGCTTCATAGCGACATCATACGAGTCATATATATTAATATGGCCGAAACTTAAATTATTGACAAAAATATGTCGCTGGCTCCCGGACTATGGTAACAGAGGAAGAGGAAGACTTCCTCTGCGTTGGAAAGACCAGATGGAGGAGGACTTGGCTTCACGTGGCATTTCCAATTGGCGTCAGTTAGCACAGAAGAGAAATGACTGGCTTGCTGTCTTGGACTCGGCCAAAATCGCTTAGGCGGTTACAGCGCCAATAAAGAAGAAGAAGAATTCAAACCCTGTTTGTATCGAAAGTAAAATTTCTTGGAAATTTTGTTAGAAATTACGCAAAATTGTATAAACTTCACTAATGTAAAAAGGAATTTGAGAATGGCAATCTACATATCGCCGGTGATTCTGCAAAACGGTCTATGTCGATTAGTACCCTTGACACTTAGATGGTCTCTTACTTGCACCGGAATGCATCTGCACCCTAATAAACGTATGACACAACTGTCTACCTTTGGCTGATTAAGATTAGCTATTGCCAGGAGCGATCAGATACAGATAAAATATCAATTAAGCACCAGGGGTAATAAGTGACATAGAACGTTCTGCAGTATCACCGACGATATATCCAAAAAAGTCCAATTAAGTGAGTGAACTTTTTCTCAGATCTCCAAAAACTGAATTTTTTTTATATTTTGACTTCATATTCGGATTCAGCGGCAAATTTCACAAATTTTTTTATTTCTATAAAACTTGTGTTATTTATTTTTCTTAAAATAAAATAAATCGCAATTTAGCTCGAAGAAGTTTCTAAAAAACGTGGCCCTTATTTAAATATTTAGATGTAAAATACATCAGTGTAAGCAGCTGCACGAGTCGACGACAATATGCCAAAATCCAGAGATTTTTCCTTATGTTTCTAGTAAATGTTACTTCATGTTTTTTTGTTTTAATTTACTATTGAATAATAAAAAGTTCAGCTACCTTAAACCAGCGTTAAAAATATCCAAGGGCAAAAAGGCAAATCTGAAAGCAAACAAGCAAAAAACAAAATTTAGCTTTCAGCTACCTGACTAATTTGATTCCTTAGGTTGACGGCAGAGAGTTTGCTAGAAGCGATGTGCGGCATGTGATATAAACAGCTCTATAAAATGCCAGAGTGAAAGCTTAATAGCACAAATAAAAGGTGTCAATTAAAAAAAATTTTATTTAAAGTAACTATTAAAGGAAACTATTCCTAAAAAGAAAATATCATAGAATACTGCTACAAATCATTTCACTACGTGCTTTATAGCTCAAACTCGCTAATATCTTCGCTAACTCGGCCGTATCAATGACAACGAAGCAATTGTTTTTTTTTTTTCTTAAAATGTCAGAACTATTACTTGGAATAAATGGAGTAAAAGGTAAAAGTTTAAGAAAAACCTATTGCTTAGTTTTTATTCAAACGGACCATTATCTGACACCTTTCGAGCAAATCATATGAAAATATTGAATATGATTTATAACTTGTTATATCTCTATATCAAAGTATCGCTTATAGCAACCACTCTGCCCTCAGCCTTATGTGAGATATATAAATCCCTTTACACATATACATTAAAACAAAAAGTTTTTGTTACACTGGCCAACAACTGCGGTAGATTTTGAAACCTCATTACTGTAGAAAATTTGCCGTAGGGTAAAAATTTAACCATCAAATTATTCTATTGCCTCTAGTTTTCGAGATATTTAGGATTAAAAGTGTAAAACCGTATTTTTGAAATTTTTTAACTTTTATAGTATCTATGAGAATAACGATGCAATGTGGAATCTTTTGAATATAACCAAAATACTGCTTGATTGGGTGGGGGATTTTGGGGGTTGAAACCCCACTGGAATTTTTGGATCGACTTTAAATATTTTTTATTTATTTTTATCATTGCATCATTCTCCACACAAAAAAACATCGGTTCTGTTTTTCCATAGGAAAACTAATATATTTTAGGACTTCCGCCAAAATATTTCGGAAAAGTATTAAGATTTAGGTGGGCTGGGGCCGATTTGAACACGATCCAAAAATCGGTTTTTTTTATAAATAAAATTAGCCTTTAAAATTTTTTTTCTTCAAAAATCCTTCACGTGATAGAAGAACTTATGTTTAAAAGCTCTGCAGAAAATTGTTTACAAATTTTATCAACGGAAGCAAAGTAATGGGATTTTTGGAGGTTTATTTCAAATCGGTACAGCTCACGTAAGTCTTAATATTTTTCCGAAATATTTTGCCGGAAGCTTTAAAATATAATAAATCTTATAATTCCGGGGTCGAAATGCACCTGCCGCACCTAAATTGGAGCGCTAAGCGTTGCGTTTTCCAACGCCAAAATGTGCCAGCGCGCGCTATACCCAAATACCGTGGTGTCATGTTTGACGCTTTTTCATTTCCCCTTGTTTTTGTTATCGTTTCGTATAGCGTTGGAGAATAGTATAAAATACTTGTTTTAATCAGTACTGCTTTGCTACCTTTATGCTTAAGTGCACATTTGGGATTTGGGTTGAATACCTATTTGCGTAGTAGCATTGGCAGGAGAGATTGGTTGGTTCGGCGCGGCGCCGTGCAATAAAGACATAGGAAATAACGCCCTATGGCTTTATTTAACTTCACATTGAGAAATAAGGCCGTATGGTCTTATTTCTCAATGTGAAAGTGAATTATGGCATTATCGCACCTTTCATAATTTTGTGTGTAATGTTTACCTAGTGCACAGCTAGTGTGCATATAGAAAGTAACTCGGTAATCCTCTAGTTTAAGATACAACTTACAATAAAAAACGCCCAAAAATGATAGAAGGGGTACCAACCGCCGCGTTATTAACCCTATATTAACAAGTCGGAGGTGGAGGGTTAATATGGTTAACCGTGTATAAGTTATTAAAAAAACACTTTTTGGAATATTGCTCAAAAATGCACTCAATTACCAATATTCTCTTTAGAAACACTAGTAAAATATATTATACAAAAAACTTTTTCAAAAAGCACATAAATTTTACAACAAAAGAATGTTTATTTGAAAAAAAAAGAAAAACAAGTTAACAATGTTCCCGAACAGAAACGAGAAAATTCAAAATGGCGTATAGTGCTGCCACTTCATTTATGTTTCGTAATAATTCAGTTTTCCTTGTATGGCGTCCGCAATGTTGAGTACTTTTCGGTTTTGTCATCAACAATTTTATACACACTTTAATTTTGTTGTCGTGCATTTTCTTCCATATAAAATATGCTCGACATCTTCATTTGTATGGGAGAAAATGTCTAGCACCATCAGCAAAAAAAAACTTTTTAAAATCAACGCGATGTTCTAGCGTCTTAAAATTTGCACTTTAACATAATAAAATTTAATGAGATACAAAACTGCATACTGCATCTGCATACTGCACCTGAAGAAGGAAGTCGAAAGCATATTAGTGATTGAAAAATAAATAGTTTTTTTTTGCATTAATTTCAGTATTGGTAAGTTATTGACAATTCAAGTGCAAAATTATTTTAAGGATATGCTTTTTACTGATTTATTAAAACGCCAAAATTGAATTCCCTTAATAACACTACAAAGGTCAAAATAAATCGTACCATAAGGGAGTTCATTCAAGTTGGGAAATTGGGTGAAGTATTGCAGGGCGGGGCGCAATCACGCACTGCTTAAAAAAAGATAAAATTATGCATAAAAAATTCCACGAAAGGAAGTAAACAACCGAATATCCGCCAAATAAATCGGATTAAAAAGGGGACATGACAAATTTTTTCTTAACTCCACTCAAATAAAAGAGCAGTGCGATCTTCCATTGACCACCAGGCACATTTTACGTAACTCAGATTGCATAAAATGGAAATAAACGGTGTGCAAGCCTTATTGAAATCCCATTACCAACAAGGGCGCTTAGACTTAGACCAAAAACATATGCAGTGGACAACTGTACAACTTTGGGCAATCTAAATTGAATGTTTTTTCATCGAAAAACACAGCATTGTCCCACTCAGTTGTCCACTGCATGTGTTTTTCAGCTTTTTGGGTTTAAGCGCCCTTGTCTGTGATATGGTTTCAACACAAGCTTACACACCGTTTCTTTCCATTTTATGCAATTGGAGTTTCGTAAAATGTGCCTGGTAGTCAATAGAAGGTCCCACTGCTCTTTAATTTCAGTAGAGGTAAAAAAAATTAGTCGTGCAACCTTTTTTAATCAGATTTATTTGGCGGGTACCCGGTTTTTTACTTCCTTTCGTGGAATTTTTTACAGCACAACTTTGAAATTTTTTTTAAGCAGTGCAGGGTTGCGCCCCGCCTTGCAATACTTCACCCAATTTCCCAGTTTGAATAAACTTCCTTATGGAACGATTTATTTTGACCTTTTTAGTGTTATTAAGGGAATTAACTTTTGGCGTTTTAATAAATCAGTAAATCCGCATATTCTTAAAAATAATTTTGCACTTCAATTATCAATAACTAACCAATGCTCAATTTAATGAAAACAACTATTTATTTTTCCAATCACTAATATGCTTTAAATATCACAACAGCAACGAAAACAAATTTTTCATACAATATAAAGTGCCGATAGTTTGAAGAACAATATGAGTTAGAATTTTTTGTGAGTAATCCATTGAGAGAGGAGAAAGAAGGTAGCAAACTTAAAATTAAGAGTGCGTTTATAGGAATGTGTACCACTGAATATATGTATATACAGTGACGAGCAAAACTGTAACATAATGTAACACTGTTTATTTCAGCCACCGCTATATTTCCAAGTTCTATCGAGTTTCATCCTTTTGTTGTATATTCTAGTTGGTACACCCCTACTCCCTCCCTCATAATGATTTTAAGTCAATACAACAACAATAAAAAAACCAGCAGACAAAAATGTATTATTATTATTATTATTCTTTAGTGCTGATATGAATATCAGAACTAATAGTTTGTATGAGCATTGTCTACCGGGGCCATCAGCTCGACATTGCAGGAAGGAGTTGTGTTTATATTTGTATACAGTATCGGCCATATCTATAGCACGCAATTTCAAAGTGATATTGTGTGCCACTTATGTTTATTTATTTGTTTTTAAGAATTTTCAATTAAAATACAGTTCTTTCTCTAACAAAACCCATATAAACCCAAGTTTAAAAATTTGTAGAAAACTACAAAAAAGTGCAACAAATTTTCACCTACATTTCAAACTTTTTTCTCGGAAGTGTTTGAATTTTTCTGAATACACAGTTTTATAGCCCAATCAATTTTAGTCTTAATGTGCAAGTTTCAAGTGGCTAAAAGCTACCGTTGATTTTTTAGAATTTTTTTCGCCAAAGGTGTTGCGGTTTTCTTCCATATACAAATAAATTGAGTTTATTCATTATATGGAAGCCAATGCGACAAACAAAATTCTAAAAAATTAACGGTAATTCGTAGCCACTTCAAATTTGCACATTATCAGACTAAAATTGCAGGGGCTAAAAAACTGTGTACTCAAACACCTCCGGGAAAAAAGTTTCAAATTTAGGTGAAAATTTGTTACACTTTTTTGTAGTTTTCTACAAATTGTTGAACTTGGGTATATATGGGGTTTGTCTGAGAATGAACTAAATTTTAATTGAAAATTCTTAAAAATAAATAAATAAACATAAGGGGCACACAATATCACTTGGAAATGGCGTGCTATAGATATGACCGATACTGTATGTGTCACGTAGTTTTGGTGGTTAAATGGTCAAACCAATAGCTTTAACGAATCTTGCGATTTTTTCAATGTTTGTGCTGGTGGGAGAGGAGAATATTTCCGAAATGTTCTGTGAGTCGAGTAATGTTTGTTTTCCTCTCTCTCTCCTCTCCGTATAAAGGGCATTCGTTGAGGTTGTGTTGTAATGTTTGCTGTAAGTTGCAGTTTTCGCAAAGTGTTTGGTTTTCTTATTTTAGGAGATGTACATGTGTTTGGGTTGTGTGCCCAAAACGGAGTCGAGAGAATATCCTGGTTTTAAAGCCGTTTATATTAGTGGGGTATTGC